GGTTGACAGTGGTAGCCGGACACCATCTAGTTCTTCTGGTCTCATAGTTGCATAGGCTGAGGATCACATCACCACCCTCATTTTTAAGGAGCATTCTTGCCATATTTCCAGGACGGATTTGTTCATTATTCTGGCAGTGCATGGCTTGTTCCGTGTTCTTTGCCGACTACTGCTTCCAGGGGCATTGATTGTGGATCCAAGTAAAATGAAATCCCTGACACCTTCAGTCTTTTCTCCATTTATTTTAATGTTGCTTACTGGTCTAGTTGTGAGGATTTTTGTTTTCTTGATGTTGAAGTGTAACCCATACTAAAGACTACAGTCTTTAATCTTTGTCAGCAGGTGCTTCAAGTGGTCCTTCATGTTCAGCAGGCAGTTTCAGAGGCTCAAGTGTGAATGCAGGGTGTGGCTCTGGGGGAAGTCTCTCTGTCTCTGTGGGCTCTGGGCAAGGTCCTTGTCTCTTCAGCTTCTGTTTCCTGGGTCCTTGGAGATCTCCATGTGGCTTGGCTTCTCTCTTCCCCCATCTCTGGTTGCTTAATCTGCTCCTTTTATATTTTGTAAGACACACTCTGTGCAAATCCTGCCAGAGACAACCATCCCCAAATAGGATTATAACCGCAGCCATAGAGGTGAGGATTTACTGCACGTATTTTCTGGGGACACAATTCACTCTGTAACAGAGGCTTCAGAATCTCTTTTAATGCCTGTGGGTGGTTCTGTCCACACAGCCTTTATTTCTCGGTGTTTGCCTTCCTGTCCTCAGTTTGCTTTTCCGTATGGAATTCAGTATCCACGTGCCTGGTTCCATAAGAAAGCCTGAAGCAACCTTTATTGGGGTTGTGTTACATTTATAAATTAATTTGAAAAGAATTAATGTCTTTATGATGCTGATAATTTTACCAAGAACAAAGGATATCTCTCCATTTGTTTAAGTCTACTTTTGTGTCTTTCCAGAATGTCTTACATTTTCTCTCATCATGGGTTTTTTTCCGTTTCTTGTTTGGAGCTCTGGTAGCATAGTCCCTGAAGCACTTGACTGCTAACCAGAAGGCTGGCGGTTCAAACCCACGAGCCACTCCTCGAAAGGAAGGTTGGGTAATTTACTTCCATAGAGATACTGCCTCAGAAACCCTTGGAGGCGTCGCTGTGAGTCGGGTCTGACTCCATGGCACCTGACAACAACAGCCACTCCTCGGAAGGAAGGTTGGGTAATTTACTTCCATAGAGTTACCGCCTCAGAAACCCAAGGAGGGGTCGCTGTGAGTTGGGTCTGACTCCGTGGCACCTGACAGCAACAGCAGCCACTCCTCGGAAGGAAGGTTGGGTAATTTACTTCCATAGAGTTACCGCCTCAGAAACCCGAGGCGGCGTCGCGGTGAGTTGGGTCTGACTCTGTGGCCCATGACAACAACAACAACGAGGAGATGCTGCTTGCGTGTGCGTTACTGTCTCTGCTTGTTTGGGCTTCAGCTTGCTATTCTGCAGCGATTTTACAGCAATAACCATGAGATTATCGTCAGTGATTGCCTCCTTTTTGCGCTGTTTTAGCTTTGGGTATCAGTGTTACACTTGGTTTATGAAAATAATTAGCAAGTGTTCCTTCATTTTCAGTGTTCTGAGACAATTCATGCTACTTGGGGCATGTCTGGCCTTCATGTGTGTGACCAACATCCCCTGTACAACCTTTGGGGCCTGTAGTTTTATGTGGGGTGGTTCCTTAATACATCTCCCTCTCTTTCCTCACAGGAAATTGGTCTGTTTAATATTTCTGTCACTAATGAGGTTAACTTTGGCAAATAGTATTTCCATAGTAAATTCTCACTTCCAACCAGGTCTTCAAATTCATTTCCATAGATGTCCACATAGTGGTCTCAGGATTTTTTAAGTTCCCAGGGACTGTTTTCCCGGCTCGTGCCTTGTGTTGTGGACCTGTGCTTTCTCTGTCTCTCTGGAAGACGTTGGTTACTGAATGGTTGGTCTCTCTCAGCGTGTTTAGTAACCAGGCCCTGGATTCATTAATTAGGTTCTACTTTTGTTCTTCATCTGTCTCATTAATTTCTGTTTTTATCTTTAATTCTTTCTCTATTTTTAATTATTCCTAACTTTTTGAAGGGAGCTCTGGTGGCGCAGTGCCTAAGGCATCTGACTGCTAACCAGAGGCTGGCGGTTCAAAGCCCCCCAGCCACTCCTCGGAAGGAAGACTGGGCAATGTACTTCCGTAGTGATACTGCCTCAGAAACCCCAGGAGGGGTTGCTATAAGTCGAATCAACTGGATGGCAATTAATTTTTAAACATTTTTGAATTAGGAATTAAGATTGCTCATGTATTGAAACTATGCCTCTTGTTTTCTGCTGCTTGAATCTTTACAACTCGAGGTGTGGTTTGGCTCATACGTCCATGCACCCACCACCTCTGTGTGGCTGTGAGCAAACCCCTGTGTCCAGGAGCTGCCCCCACACTGCTGTGCCCATGTGCACAACCTGTGCTGTGCCATGAGTCCAGAAAATGGTCCCTGGCTGCATTGCCTTGAACCTCATCTGTTCCCTTTGTTCTACATGGAGATCCCCAAGGGTGACGCTCCTGGGCCTGGTGGCCAGCCAGTGGCCTGGGACCCTGAGTCACACGGAGTATCCATCAGGTGGGCTTGGGCCTCAGACCAGGTGTGCCACCTCTTCCTTTCACCTCCCAGACCTCTGGTGAGCATCACGGGCCAGCAGAGATGGCTGCAGAGCTGGCATACGGCAGTCCCCCCGCCTCCCCAGGAAGAAGGACAGCACAGTGCCAGGCACCAGCCTGATGAGGGTGTGCGGAGGGGCATTTTTAGGTCACTGGTGTTGGGTCCTGGTGCATGAGAAGAGGAGCAGGCTTGCAACAGAGTAGTACAGGGGGGTTGATGGCTTTGTGGCTCAAGGCCTAAGATGGGAGTGGAGATGTGGGGGAGTTGTCAGCGTTGGGGACACTGGCAAGAGCAGAGGAGGGTGAGAACTGACGGTGGGCACTGTGGGTGCTGGCTCACAGGCCTTCCCGGTGACTGTCTGCATGGGAGGGACTGGAGGCTGCACGTGCTCAGGGGGGGGGTCGTTTTCTCGGGTGCGCCTCTGTGAGCTAACACGTGTGAAGGCATTTTGCTTGGTGCAGGATGGGTCATTCGAAATGTTACTGGCAGTTGTACAAGTAAAACATGCCTATTAGGGCTACCATGGAAAGGCCTAGCAATAGGAAGAAATAGAATCTTTGTTTATAAAAAAGACCAAAAACCGAACTCATTGCTATTGAGTCATTTCCGACTCATAGTGACCCCCATTGGGTTTCCAAGACAGTCAATCTTTATGGAAGTAGGTTGAGCGTCTTCTTCTGCAGAGTGCCTGGTAGGTTTGAACCACTGACTTTCTTGTTAGCTGCCAAATGCCTTAGGTCATGCACCACCAGAGCGCCTCTGCTTACGAAGGATTCCTTAATGTGACCCCATGGTGAGGCCTGGTGGGGAGGGAGAGACGCACCGTGTGTGCAGGAGGCAAGCGGCCCTCTCCCTCTGTGTGTGGAACATGCCATGTGCTGTGCCTGCATCACCAACCCTCACAGCCACATGACTCAGCTGACAGGCCCTCGGCTGGCACCGGAGGCCCAGCAAGGCAGGCTGGTAGAGAGTGGGCCCACTGCCAGGTCCGGCCCGCCAGGCCGCATGGGTGGGTGGCGCCAGCAGTGAATAAGGTGGGGGGGCAGAGCACAAGAAAGGCGAGCGCCTCTAAGACCAGACTCTGGTCATTGGTTACTGTTCTGGTTCCCTAGTGCCGCTCTGACAGGAATATACCACAAACGGGATGCCTTAACAAACAGGAGTTTATTCTTACAATTTGGAGGCTTTAAGTCCAAGTTCAAAGTGCCAGGCTCTAGGGGCTGGGTGAAAGCCCCTTAACCTTGGGGTCCAGCTCTGCCTCCTGCTCCTGGCCCACTGGAGCTAAAGGCGTTTCTTCATTCAGACAGTGCAGGCTGCTGAGGCTGAGAAGCCCAAGGTTGACAAGTATAAAGGCACAGTCCCAGTGTTACCAAACCACACGGCAGCCATTGTAAGTCCCGAGGTCGGCAGAGCATAGCAGGCTGCTGAGCAATGACACAGCTACATGCAGGGTCCAAGCGTGCCAAAAGCTAGAGACCATTCCCAAAGCTCCAGCTTATACACGGGAAGCAGACCACATACCCAAAGAGAGCTCCTCAGCTGCTCCCAGTAGAGTCCACCATGGAGTTGATGACCAGTCTCATCATGGGGAATACTACATCCAGCTGCCCGGCCACTCACCCAGGCCCAGCCAAGTTGACACACAAACATAAACATCACGGTTACCCGCCGCCCCCAGCATTCGCTCTGCTCGCCGCCTGCTTTGAAAGATAAAGATTTAACGGCAGGTGAAAATAGTCTTGCTTCCTGTCAGGAGCAGCCCACAAAGTTCTTGAGGAAGTCTTGGCAACTCCTGAGGACCCTGGCATGTTCCACATCAACAAGGGATGCCCGGGCACCACCTGTCGAGGTTGGCCTCTGAGCCCTGGGGGCCGTTATGTTCTCTCACTGTACCACGTGCCTGCCCCCTGGGCAGCTCTTGTGGACAGCCGTGCTCTCCACCCTCCAGGGAGGACTTGCGAAGCCCCACCTGAGCAACGTAGGTGCCAGAATGATCTTTCCCCAGAGCCTTGTGCTCATGAGCTCTCTGCTGGGCTGGCCGCACGGGGCCTGGCTGGGCTCCAGCTTCCAGCAGACCCGCCTCCTCTGGCGGCACTCGAGGCTGCTGCTGGCTTTGCTCAGCAAAGGTGAATTCTGTAGCCGGTTGAATGCGTGTGTTCAAGGCACATCACACATTTGCCCTCCTTTGGCCTGTTGTGAGATTAATTTTTTAAAAAATTGTTTTTTCATAAGGTATTAAAATGTCAGTAAAATCACATGATTCGTTCTAGTGTGATAAACTGGCCTGTTGCTGTCGTTTGACTCTCCTCTCTCACTTTGCAGATGATGTCTTCCTTCCTAAAGATATTGACCTCGACAGCGTGGACATGGATGAGACGGAGAGGGAAGTGGAGTACTTCAAAAGGTAAACTCAGGGTGGTGAGTCTGGTGGCGGTGACCATCCACAGCACTGCCAGCTCTCCTGGGTGGAAATGCCAGCAGCCAGCCAGCCTGACAGGCCTGCCCCCACAGCCCACACCCGGGCACACATACGCCCACCTTCTCACGGGCCCTCACACTCCTGCGCTCCCCTCCCCTCCTCCTGGGGTGCAGAGAATAGATGGTGGCAGGGAGTTGGGAAGTGGCCCTGGACCAGCAGCACCACCTGGGAATGGGTTGAGAGATGCAGCTATCAAAGCCCTCCCCGGGCCTTTCAGCTCAAACCCAGCTGGGGCCCAGCAGCCCACGTCCTAGCGAGCCCCTCTCTGATCCAGCTAGACAGAAGTTTGAAAACACTGATGGTGTGCCATTGATACTTGGACAGACTGTTGGTGCTGTGTTCAGTGATTCTGTATCCTGTGAATATAGTGCGGAAATTTTATCTTCGGAAACACTTTTTCCTCTTTAGCTCAAGTAAGAGCACACAACTAAAGAACAGTTAGTTTGCAGTACAAGGCTGAACTTGACATTTATAAGATCCTAAACGTTTGTGGAAATTATGTGTTTATTTTATATGTATGTATGTATATATATACACACACACACACATTTGCACATACATTCATACATACATAAGCTCATTGTCGTCCAGTCAAATCCAACTCATAGCAACCCCTCCTAGGGTTTCCGAGGCGGTTTCTCTAGTAGGAGTAGGAAGTAGATTGCCCAGTCTTCCTTCTGCGGAGTAGCTGGTGAGTTTGAACCACCAGCCTTCTGATCAGCAGTCAGATGCCTTAAGCGCTACACCGCCAGGGCTCCCAGGTATATGTAGTTTTATGACATACATGCACAGGTAATCGTAATTATGGTAGGTGTATGTAATTATCTATTCATATTATACATACATATATAATGCACACGTGCAGTCATGTTCATGGTTTGTGTATGTAATTGCCTACTTATATTTTACGTTATATATATATATATATATATATATATATATACACACCATGTGTGTAATCATGATCATGGTAGTTGTGTGTGCATATAAATATATAATGCACACACACATATGTAATCATGATCATGGTAGGTAGTGAGAAGCATTTGCTAAAAATAAACATCAATTCATAAGAAAAACCCTTAACAAACTGGAATAGAAAAGGGACTTCATGAATGTAATATGAAATTGTCCGTAAGAAAAACTGCAGCCAGTAGCATAGTTAATGGTGAAATTTTTAAACCTATCCCTTGAGGTTAAAAAAAAAAGACAAGGCCACCTGTTACCACAGCTTCTATGTATAAAGGCATAAAAGAAGCAAAAGGGATATTAATCAGAAGGAAGAAATGAAATTGTCATTCTTCTAAGATGATGATACTCTGTAAAAACTTAAGAAGTATCAAAGGTAAGTTTCTTGCATTAGGACAGTTTGACAAGGTTCTTGGATACAGACTCAGTGTACAGAATTTTACTTCTGATGTCATAGACAGCTGGGAGCATGAAGGTGACCTTTTCCTCTGCACCCACCCTGAAATCCCACTCTCCCACTCCTGGAGGTGTTTCTGGTCTTACAATGACCGAGAACATTTCTAGGAACATCCTGCATCTCCAGAGAACCAGATCTGAGCTAAGCCCACACTGAATGGGAGGAAGGTGCTGGGAGACTGGGAGCTGGGTTTTCAGAGCTGGGGTGGAGCACCAGGTACCCTGAGCCAGGAACCTAGGAGTGGGCCAGGACCTCCAGGGACCAGAGCCAGGGGAGAGCAGGGCCAGGGCTAAGGCTGCATTGACAGGGAGGGGTGGGCTCAGCCGGAGGCTGGATTCTGGCATGTTGCATGAGGAAGGGAAGTGGAGCAGGGGCACTTCCTGGACAGAGGTGGGCTTCAGAGAACTTGCCGAGGTCGGCCTGGAGCATTCACATGCTCTCATCACACATGACCAGGACAGCTGTGGTCTCCCTGTGCGGACTTCAGAGAACCTCCCCCGAGGTCAGCCTGGAGCATTCACACGCTCTGATCACACATGACCAGGACAGCTGTGGTCTGCCTCTGCGGATGGAGCAAAGAGGAGTGAAGCAAACCAGAGATGCAGAATCAAAGATTACAGAAAAAGGCAACAAAGAGATGGTGCCTAAGGGTCATACAGAACTGATGAGAACTACGAGTCTACAAAGCCAGAATATCAAAGACGATAAAGAAAAACCTGCTGTTGGACAGCACTTAAAACTAGGAACCACCAAAGAGGAAAAGATGACCTACAAAGAAGCGATTGTTAGAATGAAGCAGAAAAGTGGCGTGATATTTACCAAGTGTTGAAAATTGTCTGCCTAGAATTATGTACCCAGCAAAACTCTTCTTCAAGAACAAGAATTGAAGTAAAACAAGTTTTCTCATAATGAAGGAAAACTATAGGAGCTTCCTGCCAAGACAGCTGCATGACAGGAAATGTATCGCAGCTCCAACTTCCAGAAAAAGGCAGGAGCTCTCAGAAGGGCGGCCCAACACACTGGCAGAGTGGGGTGCAGAGACCAGTCTAGGTAAACACAGCATTACAGCAGTGACGTCTCAGTGGCAGGGTTAAAAGGAAAAGACGTGTGGCACTGATGAGCAACACATGCAGGTCAGGAGGACAGTCACGGAAGCTTCTCCAGAGCTCGTGTTGTTCATGTGGGCGCTTAAGAGACTCAACATTCAGACGTAAGTGGAACAGACGGGGCAGAAATTCCAGAGCAACCATTATAAACATAGACATCGGGTGGGTCAGTTGCTCAGCAGGAGAAAGAGAAAAATCAGGTGGGGTGGGATGCTCACACGCACAAAATCATCAAAACCCGAAGAGGAAAGTAAAGCGAGTAATAGGACAGATGGCCTATAGGCACAGGTCCAGTTACATCAGTGACCATAGTAACAGTAAGCAGACTGGAATAAAAATGGATAGTGTCAGGTTACATTTACAAGTTAGATGTGTATCACATATACATGCATACATGTATATGTACATACCTACACATAAACACACACATGCCGATTTCGAGGACATACCTAAGCATAACGAAAGGGAATGATGAAAACAAAGGGATAGGATAAAGGTGTGGAGGGTAAAAGGAAGCTGTTAGGGTTATTTAACATGAGACAGTGAGACAGTGAAAACAGGCACTATTAGGGCTTAAATAAAACAAACCTATACCCATTGAGTCCATTGTGACTTGTAACCGTATTGGACAGAGTAGAACTTCCCCAAAGGGTTTCCGAGGCTGTAATCTTTACAGAGAGACTGCCACACCTTTTTCCTGTGGAGTGGCTGGTGGGTTTGAACTACTGACGTTTTGATTAACAGCCGAGAGCTGAACCACTGCACCAACAGGGTTCCTTTTGTTATTAGGGACAGTGAAGATTATGGTACAGTGATAAAAGGGTTCGTTTATCTGAAGAAAAAGAAATTTTAAACATTTGCACATAATGGCATAGTCTCAAAATACAAAAAGCAAAAGTTGTTGGAATGGCACAGAGAATAGACAAATCCACTGTTCTGATTGGGATTTCACTCCACACCCACTCTTCACATACTGACACGGTTAAGCTCTAAAGATCAGGTCGTTAGGTGAAAATCGGCAGTATGTGAGAGTGGGAGGATGACCACATCAGATCACAAAATGGAGAGTGACTGAATCATTGCATACTGCCGCATTTCATCATTACATACCTGCCGAACCACTGAGAATCGTGGCCTAGCCAAGTGGACACATCATCTTAGCTGTCAAAGCCATCTTCTCGCCCCTAGCACCTCGACACTCATTACTGCCAGATGTATGTCATTAATGCACACAATAGTTGGATGATGGATTTTTTTATGATTGTACTAAATATGTAATGTTGAATTGCTAGATAGACTGTGAGAAGTAGGTGTATTTTCTAGACCACAAATAAGGAAGATCAAAGAAGAACTGATGCCTTTGAATTAAGATGTTGGCAAAGAGTATTGGTTGTACCATGAACTGTCAGAGAAACAAACAAATCTGTCCTGGAAGAAGTACAGCCCAAAGGCTATTTAGGAGTGAGGGTAGTGAGGCTTCCTCTCGTGTACTTGGGACGTGTTACCAGGAGCGTGAGTCTGCAGAGGAGGACATTGTGCTTGGTGAAGTAGCAGAAAAAGAGAAACCCCTCAACGAGATGGACTAACTCCGTGGCTGCAGCAATGGGTTCAAACACAGCAACAATTGTGAGGATGGCATAGGACCTGGCAGGGTTTCACCCAGTTGTACGTAGAGTCTCTGTGAGGTGGCAGCAGCCCCAAGGCAGCTAGCAGTGATGGGTGTACTTCCGTGTACTGTTGTTCACTCAGGCAGTCCAAGGATCTGCAAAGATGTAGGAGACTAGAATGACTTGGCTAATCAGCTTGGTCCTTGGTCCGACGAAGCTGGGGGAAGCACCGCTGTATTTATATTTAATTAGTGATTGTGGGTTGGAGTGATTTCACCCAAGATTCTTGTTTCCTTTGTTTTGTTTGGATGTATCTGAGTAAGCAGGGTACTGTGCTCCTCTGTCGGCTCGTTGGCAGCACTGAAGCACTTAGCCACCTGTCTCCTGGTGGGTGTGATAGAGAATGAGAGTGGGTGCACAGCTCTCTGTTAGCTACTTGTGAAGAGATGTTAAGAGTGAGTCAGGCTCGTATTGGCTGTTGTCTGTCATTGGCCAGTTAGT